TTGGACCGGGCCGACCATTGGATACCCTCCACCATAGGTATACTGAAAGGTACTTGAAATGAAAATATAGGGAACATGCCAAAAAGTGGTCCTATACCCACAGGTTTACAAACCGATTTATGTAAAAAATTATGTACACCGAATACAAATTTCAACGATTTTTAATCCGTATTTTTCATAAAATCTAAAAACCCCAAAACGTGGACCGTGTAAAGAATATCACCCATAGTATGGTAGAATACGGGTATATTAAGACCAACCCCAACACATAGAACAAATCAGATAACTATTTTAATATAAACCAATAAGGAAAGTTCAAAAGTCGGACGGAGCCGACTATATGATACCCTTCACTACTTTGGATACATACAAGAGATCCTAATATATACAATATCCTGTAGATAGAACAGACATGTAATCTTTAGAGGACCATGGAATGAAAAAGGGGTGAAACTAGATGTGAGATCTACATAGATATGGGAACCAAGTAAAAAACTCAATGCACATACAATTCTGATATCTATGAAAAATTGTATGTCAATCGAATTATATTGTGAAACATTTGTATGAAGGGTTTGGTATGCTGCAGCACAGAGCGCTGTACACAATTTTATCTCATGAATATGGAACAGTCGTATGCTCCTCGGTGCACCAAAAATCGGACGAAGCTATATGGGAGTCTCTATCAAAATCTGAACCGATTTTCACAAAACGTCGTATACATTAATATGGACCTATCTCAATACGCGGTGGCAAATTTTGTATTTATCGGACAATCCTTTGGTGCACTATTTACCAAAACATCGGTATATAAGAGCTATATGCAAATATAAATCGATTTTCACAAAACTTCGTATACATCGATGTGGACCTATTTTAATAAAAATATTGCAAAATGCTGTCTCAATAGAAATAAATATTGAAAGTTTGCTGCACAATTTACCTAAAATCGGACAAAACTATATATGGGAGCTATATCAAAATCGGAACCGATTTCAACAAAACTTCGTAAATATCAAACAGGACCTAATTTAGTAGACTGTGCAAAATTTTGTCTCAATCTGAAAAATATTGGAAGTTTGGTGCATCATCTACATAAAATCGGTCGAAACTATATATAGAACCTAAATCTAAATCTGAACCGATTTTCACGAAAAATAGCGCACATTCAATCAATTCCAAATTTCGTACAAATCGAAAGATATATAGGGACTTTGGTGCACCATTTCTATGAAATCGTTCGAAAATATATATGGGAGCTTTGTCTAAATCTGAACCGATTTTCACGAAACTTAACACACGTCTTTCCAGACCTGCGCTGTGCGAAATTTTGTGCAAATCGAAGAATATATGGGGTCTTTAATGTACCATTTACATAAAATCGGAAAAACACTATATATGGGAGCTATATCTAAATCGGAACCAATTTTCACGAAAAATATCACACATCATTCTACACTCAATTCAGTACGCTATGCCAAATTTCGTACAAATCGAATGATTTTTAGAGACTTTGGTGCACCAATTACCTAAAATCGGATGAAAATATATATGGGAGCTATACCTAAGTCTGTACCGATTTTAACGAAACTTAACACACATCATTCTAGACTCAATTCAGTACGCTATACAAAATTTCGTGCAAATCGAAGAATATATAGGGACTTTGGTACACCATTTACATTAAATCGAACGAAAATATATATAGAAGCTATATCTAAATCTAAACCGATTTTCACGAAAAAATAGCACACATCATTCTACACTCAATTCAGTACGCTATGCCAAATTTCCAGCAAATCGAAAGATATATAGGGACTTTGGTGCACCATTTACGTAAAATCGGACGATACTATTTATGGGAGCTATATCTAAATCTGAATCGATTTTCATAAAATTTAACACACATCTTTCTAGACTTAATTTAGTACGCTATGACAAATTTCATGCAAATCGAAAGATATGTAGGGACTTTGATGCACCATTTACGTAAAATCGGACGATACTATATATGGGAGCTATATCTAAATCTGTACCGATTTTCACGAAACTTAACACACATCATTCTAGACCTAATTCACTACGCTAAGCAAAATTTCGTGCAAATCGATGAATATATAGGGACTTTGGTGCACCATTTACGTAAAATCGGACGAAAATATATATGGGATATATATTAAATTAAAAAATCCACGCCTTTGAATCCACGCCCTGAAAAAATTAAATTGAAAAGTCCACGCCCTAAAAAATTAAATTAAAAAATCCACGCATTTGAATCCACGCCCTGAAAAAATTAAATTAAAAAATCCACGCTTTTGAATCAACGCCCTGAGCAAATTAAATTAAAAAATCCACGCCTTTGAATCTACGCCCTGAAAAAATTAAATTAAAAAATCCACGCCTGTGAATCTACGCCCTGAAAAAATTAAATTAAAAAATCCACGCCCTGGAAAAATTAAATTAAAAAATCCACGCCACTTTCTGTGGTTCTATATTCTGAGATTGGGCAATATTTCGCGATATTTGCACACTTTTGACTGGTACAGCTTACTTACTTGTCCAGATTCCCTTCACCATGGGTTGTGTTGTGATGTTCGGCTTTCGACTCGAAAAGTACAAATAATTATGTTTTCGGTCCACTTCATCTGAAAAATTATTATTTGATTATCACCTAATATTTTAGGCGTTGTCCTTGACCATAACTGGAACCTCATGGAACATTTCAAAGCGATCAGCGCTATATTTCCGCCCTCCAGTGTGGTAATGGATTAATAAATAATATCTGAGTACGTAAGCACCTGTAAATATTTAAGTATAACTCCCTCATCCGAGTACCTACGACAATATAATTGGTATCAATTTAAAGGTCAACCACTCCTATTGGATATACTATAAACTTTTCAGGTCTATGTCCTTCAGGAGTAAATATATACGCCATAGAATACAAATTTTGTCATTTTACACACAAAAGTCAGGGTCCATTTGACCAGCTAAATATTGACCAATCTTTATCAAAACAGGCATGCTTATTCTTTGGCCGGATCCCCTTCTCCATGCAAAAATTCGCGATGTTTGGGCCATAATTGTGGCCTCTGGAGCGACCAGAAAACCCGACAAAAATTAAGTATTTGGTTCATTTCTTTCCCTAAATATTAACCGATCTTTACTAAAAGCAATAGGGGTCTTCATTGGCCAGAACCCATCCTACATGCAAAATTTCGTGTTTACAACTTATAATGGACAGACGGACGGACGGACACACATGTCTAGATCGACTCAGCTAGTCGAGATATGACGATCGTTATACTTAAAGGTGGGTCTAGGACCAATATTTCGCGGCGTTACAAACTCTTGGGGCTGCACAAAGCTATAATACCCTGGCAACATAGTTGTGTAGGGTATAAAAAAACACGCCAATGGATGAACCCTGAAATAATTTCTTTAAAAAATCCATTCTTAAATATTTCTTATATTTGATTCGCTTCCTCTTTACCACCCACTGTTAACTTAATGAGTTGTTTTGAATAAGGTAAAGTAGAATAGATGAAAAATAAACAGCATTGACAGATTTCAAATTAATTTAAAATATTTTACGAAGCGTTAAAAAAATCAGCATAAAATTGAAATATTTTTTTAGAATATGTTTTGTTTTTTGTTATAGAATAATAGAATTAATTTTTAATATTTTTTGCCATAGATAGTGTCAGAACAAAAGAATCGCCATTTAAAATGGGTTGATAAGATGCCTAAGTTGGGCGCCAAATAATACATAAAATACGACATTTATTTAACAATGAAACAAAAACCATGTGTCAAAGAAATATGGGATTTTTATTTAGAAAATGTTTTTACTTAAAAAAACAACAACATAAAAATTTATAAAAAACTGCCAACATATTTTCAGAATAATGATTAACTGATAGAGACTCCCCTATGATGTGGTCAAAAGATAGGCAGATTTTTTGTTTTCAAATATCCACACACACACACTCTCATTCACACATATGTAAATGATTTAAAAGATTATTGATGTTAATGTCACTGGTTTTGGTCATAAACATATTGTTAACAAATCGTTTGGCGGAATCAATAAATTTCAGCAAAAAAAAAAATAAATAAATAAAATAAAGACAAAAAAAATAAATATTTAAATAAAAAACTGAAAACAAATATCTTATCTTGTGGCTTAAAATATCTAATTTTTCATATCTATTTAAATACGTTTTTTTTTTAAATAATTAATTCCACTTCTAAGATGGCGCTATTCTTCCAAAGACTTTAAAATAAAAATTTTAATTTTATTTTTCTTTCTTCCTTCCTTCAAAAATAAATATTAAATACATAGAAACCGTATACACTAATTAATCTTAAATAATTACTAATTAATAATCATGGTACCATGGCGCATAGATAAAGAAACCCCCAAACACCAAAGGTAATGTTATCATTTTTTCCATTAAAAAAAAAAATTAAATCATACTTCTTATTTATTTATGCTGGCACACTTTTCAATGCCGCAGAAACTCTCCACGCCACGATATAACAAGCATGACAAATGTTTTTTGTCGGTTTTTTGTTTTTATAATATTTGCGTATTTTTTCTACTTCTATGTCAAAAAGACAAAATTATATCTAGACAATGCAAAATCTGAGAACAAAAAAAAATACCAAATGAAAACATTCAACATAACACTTGCCATTTAACAATTGCCATAAATTCCGGATTTGTTTCTGTTTTTTTGCTGTTCTAGCAAAAGTTGTTGAAGACTTTCGCATGTGGAGAATATTTAATTACACTAGAGTACAAACTATATGTTTTTGGAAAAACATTAAAAATTTATAATTTAAGTGTATATATGACAAACAATATGGTTTTAGAAAAGGTTGTGGTACACATGATGCAGTTGTAAATGTTGTAAATATAATATGTAAAGGTCTAGACGATAATTTTGGTGGTGTTGGAGCAATATTTTATGATTTATCCAAAGCATTTGACTTACTTGGCCACGATGTATTGCTTGCAAAGCATCCATTTTACGGGTTTAGCGGTAACTCCCTACAGCTCTTGTAGTGTTATATTGAAAACCGAAAACAGTATGTAGAAATCGATGGACGCAAAAGTGATATTGTTTCTGTTCAATACGGAGTACCTCAGGGTAGCGTTTTAGGTCCATTACTTTTTGCTATATACCTTAACGACATATCCAAGCTTAGTCTCTACGGAAAGTTAATACTGTATGCCGATGAAATTTCGCTTTTCTATCCTTATAATCATGACGTTATACTTAAATCGCAAATGGAACATGACGCTAATACCATAACTGATTTTTGCAGAATTAACAATCTTGTCATAAATTCGGAAAAAGCTAAGATTATACGTTTTCGTCCTCAATGCGCTTGTAATAATTCGTTTCATATCAAAATTGGAAATACGCAAAGCAATATATCAAGAGATATGCATATACAGGAGATAAATCGAAAGTTGCACCAGCGATCGGAATCATAGACTAGAACAAAAATCGCGGTATTAACAGAAAAAAGTTAAGTGTTTTGAAAACTTCCATCTCTGTTATGAACACATGTTAAATTTTATTTCGATCTGGCAACTTCTTCATACAGAAACGGGTGTTCAAAAAAGACGGATCCGTAAATTTATTTATTTATTATCCGTAAAAATTAGAAATGCTTGCTGTCATTAACCCTTTGTGGCCCAATATTTGCACACATGCAACAAAATGTTTTAGAGCTTATATTTAATATATAGCTATTAAATATATATTATTTGGATTTCGTATGTCAATACCTGATTAGGGACGACACATATCAAAAGAAAAAAACAAAAAATTCAAAATTTTGGAAAAGTTATGAGCTTTTCAATATAGAGCATAGGGTACATTTGTGTACAGTACTAATTTGTATATACAGTCCAACTTATTTAAATCGCTTTGTATTCAAATTGTACGAATTCTGCCATCAGAATTATTTTTGATTCTTGTAAAAATTAATATTTCTTGATATTCGACTATATTTTTTCCGAAAGAATGTACTGTATCTCCCGAATTCAAGGATGTGGCGATCTCAAGTTTTGTGCATATCCTATTTAGGATAGTTGCATTAACTCGATCAACAGAAATTTGCGGAAAAAAAATTGGGGCTCAAAAGGGTTAAATATTTACATAAAAAAGGTTTATCGGGACAAGAAATTCATAATGATATGGTATACACGTATAAAAAGAGAGCAACTTTTCTGCAAATATATTTCTTACCTTCCAAGTACCTGGAATCATTATGATAGCAAAATGTGACTAAAACATCAAAAATGCCGAACATGAGGAGGAACCTTTATATGGAAATATTGTAAGGTATTTTGGTTATAGAAGAAATCTCTATAAGATGTTCTGTCTCTATTTAATCTTTAGAAAACCTCTGCTGTCCTTATAAACTGTAATAACAATTCTAAAAGTTTTTCTGCCTATTGAATATCTAATCTGTCTTCTGAACATTTCTGGATGAAACCCTATTAGATTTTCATTGAATACTTCTAGAAAATGGTTGTTCTATATCACCAGTCTTTGGACTTCTAGAAGTTATTTATAAAAGATCTCCCGAATGCCTTTTGTTTGTTTAAATAACACTTTCAAATGGGCATCTGTGTATTGAAGACCACCAGATGGTAATTTGTCCATTGAAGTTCTCACGAAAAACATTTAATTTAAGGGGACCCCACCCATTCTCGATTTTAATTTTTCAAGATTTTCACTGGACGGGTAAATCAATACCAATGCTTGTTAAGGCACATATATAATTGAAGATTTAAAAGAGAAGAAAAATAATTTATAAAAAATGTTTGTTATTGTTTTGTTGTTGTTTTTTGTAATTAAAGAAAAGTCCTTATTTTTGATGGCGGGCATGATAACTCCTCACTGGAACATCGGAATCCGAAAATTCCAACGGTGTTAGAAAGAGTACATGTCTGGCTCTCGTATGAACTAGGATTATTGACTTCGCTCTAAAATTAACAAAATGGTGGACCTTTGAAAAAATTTTTTTGGAAAATCGCCGATTTTTTACCAAAAACCAAGGAAGATCTGCACCGATTGGCTTTATCCTAGTTCATACGAGAGCTATACACTCCCAGAGAAACGTTGCAAAATTTGGAACCGATTGGATTATTAGTTTTTGAGTTATCATGCCCGCCATTCGCAAAAAAATGTTTAGAGAAAAACGCGTTTAAAGTTTGAGAAGCCCTTCAGCCGTCACTTGATGCTGACACAATAAATCGGCTATATCTTCAAAAGTTCTTGAGATTTTCACTTGAAATTTTGTAGAGACATTCTTTAATCAGTGTAGATTCGAATTATATCAACAAAAATTTTGACCCCGAGAATGGGGGGGGGGTCCCCTTAAGTAATTTCTTCTGTGGAAAATCTTTAGTACATTACATTTTTATAGAATACCTTTTCAAAGGACTATTATCAATAAAGAACCTCACGATAGCTATACCCCTTACCACACTGTCTTTGTGCATATGTTTGTAACAGGCAAAAGGAAACGATATAGACACATGATTCCTTATGAGAATATGCATAGGGACCAAAGTCCCTATATAGCTTTTGATTTGAACGAAATTTTGCATAGTGTACGGAATTGAGTCTTGAATGACGTGTGTTAAATTTCGAGAAAATCGGTTCAGATTTAGATGTAGCTTCCACATATAGTTTCGTCTGATTTTATGTAACTGGTGCACCAAAGTCCCTATATATCTTTCGATTTGCACGAAATTTGGCATAGGGTACTTAATTAGGTCCAGAATAATGTGTGCTAAGTTTCGTAAACATCGGCGACAAGACAGACGGACGGGCATTTGTAAATCGACTCCAAATTGTCAGAAACGGACTTGGTCCAAAGAATCATAGTGTCTAAAACCAATTTTACGATGAGGCACATTTTTGCAGTAGCAAAGTGTATATACCCTCATTAACCATAAGGCTGAGGGAATATATGTTTCACAAAAATCCTCCTCATTCGATTGGACCGAAGAAACATAATTTCAAAAATAATCTGGAATAGCGGCAAATAAAGATATTAAGCTTTATCTTCATCGAATTTAGTGTTACCAACAACAAATTCATCAATCCATAAATCAAAAACTGGACCTTTATATGCTCTCCAAGGGCTTTCATTCTCATAAGAAATGTCGATTTCGTGTCACAGTGTTATCATCAAAAGTCCCAAACTTGTTCCTCTCAAAGGGAAACTCAAAATACAAAATCACATCCAATTGGGTTGGAAAACGTGCCCGAAATCTACAAAATACCTAATAATTGAAGTATCGTTTTATGGAAGGACATGGCTTAATTCACATACATTTTTATTCTGATCAAGAGTACATACACTTTTTAAATTTCCGGTGAATATTTCGACTTCACCTTATGGTGGAGGATATAAATAAACAAATTTACTGAAAATATATTTCTCATCTTCTCATGAGCGTACTACCCAAAAACATGGACCAGTATCGATTTCTGCACATATTGCTGAATGAACATGTAAAGGCAATAAGTCCATATTATACAAATTTACAGGATAAACTAAAAACTGCCATCGACATCACCTAAATTGGGCTTACTCATCCCTACAAAACTGTAACAACAAAAGGCATAATTGTATATTTTTTTTTATTAAATCGATGTATTTTTACTTATTATCAAGAAAAGTGGATTGTTACCTATTCACGTTTTGGAAAGTGATATGTCATTCACTTTCCAAAAACCCAGTGTGTAAAATTACAGCCACTTCGGTTTTAAAATTCGTCTATGACCATGAAAATACTATAAATATGACGGGACGTTTAGATTGAAGCCATTGCAAAACCAGGACCCATTTTTTTGCGAAGAAGTTCTCTTATACACCTAGAATCCGAAATGCTAAACTACAAGAACTTGCGGTTTTCTGTCTATAGGAGTCTTCTGAAAGACTTTTGACTAATGAAGACTTCTTGAAAAAAAAGAAAACGATAATTTACAGGGGTAGTTACATATTTCAAGTTCGAAGATGGGCTCTATTGGTTCACTCTAATTGGTCAAAAATGTCATGATAGACAAATATTAAAGTTGGTAATACTACCAAACTTAGATCACCTTCAAAGATTGAGTTTATCGGTCCAATTCTTCTGGTACTTTTCACTCAAAGGATCTACATTAAAAACTGTGCATTATATATAATGGGAAATGAGAATCTGATTTGGTCCATACTTGGAACGCCGCAAAATGTTTGCTAAGCCTAAGTAACTCCGGGTCACTGCTTCTGCAAATTCCCGAACATTTTGAAAAATTGAAATCTTCGTAGATTACATAAAAAATCCGAATTGGTTCATACTTTACATATAGCATTTTTTCAACCAAATTTCCAAAAGGTTCGAAAATGAGTGCTAATGATGGACTTGTTCGGATATCTCGCAAAAAGAGTTAATATTTGAAGAAAAAAAATATAGTTTATATAGAATACCACCAGAAGGCCTTCAGGCAATGTCCAGAGTGAAGATTAGAAGATCTCTTGTGTATTTATGGAAGACCCTTCCCTTTATAATGAAGACTGAAAGGCTAAATATAGTTGTTCCGTTCATATAATATATACTGTCTATAGAAAAATTCCTAAAGGTACACGGACGACCTACAGGTAATATTCTATAGACAAGACCTTAAGAAGTTATTCTCTCTAATGAAGACCTATAGAATAACATTTCTTAGCTATTTCATCGGATCACGTTAGAAGTCCCTTATTCATAGAGAATTTCCAGAAGGTCTAAGGAAGTCCTCTAGAAGTTCTTCTACGGAAGTCCTCTAGAAGTTCTCTATAACGTATCCTCATGTTATACTATTCATAGCAACTATTCTTCTGTAGTTCAGTGTAATTCATAGCCAATTACGAATCTACTACTTGTAGACAACGATGCAAATTTTAAATAACAATGTGAATTCCATTTAAAAAAATGTTTAATGTTTCTTTTTTAATGAATGTGGAATTATGAATA